CTCCCCTGCCCACCCCACCCCGCTCCGCGCGGGAGCCCGCCCGAGCGAACCGGCGGCCGCTCCAACCCCCGTCCCGCCCGCCCAAACGGCCGCCCTTCCCGCCCGAACGAACGGCCGCTCCCCACGCGTCCCGCTCTCACCCTGCGTGGCGGGGCGGCCAGGTCTACCTGCGATAGTTGTTGGGGGGCGGCCAGGTCTACCCGGGGTTATTGTGGGGCGGCCAGGTCTACCTGGGCTGTGGGGGGCGGCCAGGTCTACCCGAAGTTCTGGGGGGCGGCCAGGTCTACCCCGGGTTGTTGGGGGGCAGCCAGGTCTACCTGGGCTGTGGGGGTGGCCAGGTCTACCTGGGGCTGTGGCCCTACCATGGTGGCTGCTGCTGCTGCCCCTTGGGTCCAAAGCAGGCTGCAAGGTGCCCCTTTCACCCTCCTTCCCYTGCACCATTGCAGTATATCCCCTCAAGAGAGCCATTGCGGTGCGGATTGCATGAGGAGGTGTCATGGGGACAGCCAGCCCCACAGCTTTCCATGCCCTCTGCCTGGGACACCTTCTCCCAGCGGAGCTCAGGAGGAGCCAGACTCTCTTTGGCACCTGAGTTCTCCAAGAGGGAAAGGACCATGGCCACAGAAAGGCCACGCTCACGCSACCAAGGCTGCGAGTGACCATTCGGCTCAGTTGGCTCCGGCACAAGTCCCACCTTTGCAGGAGCCGGAGCCCTGCCATGGCCTGTCCCAGGCCACTGAGCGAGCTCCTCCAGSGGCTGGAGGCGACCAGAGCTCTCCRCCACCTTCTGGTGTAGTGATGTGTGCAAGCATTTTCACAAAAACGCTCCTCAGCAACCACCTCTCCTTGGTGGTGGAGGAGAAACCACTGCCAGACAAGTGATCCTGCACTAGAAGCAGGGAGTATGGAGTGATGTAGGGAAGACCCAATGAGTGACCTTCACACTTCATCTCTCTGGGCATTCCCTTCAACACGAAGGATTTTGTGGGTGTAACACAGATCTGGCTGCTTAACATYGCTTGAAACAGGCAGGTCCTAAGGCTACCTTGGCAAGGTGACAAAGACTTATTTAGGTAGGACACAAGAAAAGAGGAACATCATGAGTAGCTTTGCACTGAGATCTAAGCTCGYCTGCGCATTGGTCTACTACACAGAAAAGTATTTTTACTTGCAGACCAATGGCARATTTTATTTTTAGGGTCTGCTAGGGCATGTTCCATCAGAGCAGGGACATATTTCTATGTCTTTATTTGTCTTTCCTCCAAATCTGTGCTGAACTCCGTCCTTAGACTACATAGCTATGGGTGCTTCTTGTATACAAAGTCTGAGAAGCTGACTAGAAATGGCAAATATCAGAGAAAAATCTACAATGAGAGCAAGTTAATATATATTACTCATTTAGTTTTAAAGCTTTCATTTTCACCAAACATTTTTGRTCTGTTTACTTGTGGATGGAGTTATCGTCAGAGTCCTTATTCTTACTGTGGCCGTTTAAGAACAACCTGCTCAAAGTTCACTGCTGAGAATTATAACTGTTGGGCTAACCATTAAATAGACCTCACCGATCATAACGAATTTTTGTCTCTRTAACGGCATTGTCATTGGATATTCAGTGTTTCTGAACCGAACTGGAAAAACAAATATTCTTCCAGTTTAGTTTTAATCATTCTTTTCATATATTWTGTTTCCAGGTTTCAAAAGGAACAGAGAAAAATAGTATAAAGTTTACTCTGGATCTCATGTTAAAAGTTTCAAGGAAAAAAGAAAAAGGTCAGAGCATTTCTCCGAATTGCAGCAATCTGCATTAAATCCCTTTCYAGTGCTGGACTGGAAAATCTACAAAGCTTAGCTTCATTGATCAGTTYGAAATAAAAGGGGAAAAAATCCCACCATCAGAGCAAGTGATTTTTTTAAAAAGCAGTATTGATACCTGCTGCACTTTTTAATATAGGATAATTACAACCTGATATTTAATGCACATTTTTTAAAGTAAATATATATTTAATGTAATATATGCATGTAGATTTCCAAAATTAAGGCAACGCTTTACTATTGTTTACTGTTAAAAATGGTTTAAAAAAAAAAAAAAGGCATTTTGATCACAAGCTTTTCCTATAAGTAAAGATATTCAATGAGAATTCACATTCAACTCCTGCACAATTATTTCCTGCTTTCTTCTCGCTTTTCCCTTTCCCTTTTATACCTCTGCAACCGACCCAAATTAAGTTGAAGCAGTCGTTTGAAGCAGCCCTTGAAAAATGGCACTGCCTGCAAGGGTGCCTGATAAATTCTGGCCACAAGATGACATCAGCATGCAGCAAAAGTTCCYGGCAAATCCCGAGACACGACAAAAATGTACATTTCTCGTTCGCTGCGAGACGTTTCGGGCAGTGCAGAAGCTGGTCCCGCAGTCCTCATTCATCCAAGCAGTTGTCATTCGCACATGCAGTTGGTCGCAATGACCTCAGTGCAGTTTATCTCTGTAATTAAGGGCTGTTTCAAGGAGAACGCTTGCCTGCTTTTTAAAGTGCTTTTCCGCACTGTCTGTGTTTCATTTATTTTTTTCCTGAAAAGGCTATTAAGTATCTAGCAATAGTCTAATCATTTCTGTATTTCACAGAGGTCTTCTTTAGACAAGAATGCTACTTTTTACAGCTGTTCTTACAGTGCCATTACTCTTCTTTCTAAAAATGGTTATAATGTAATTTAAGTAGTTTTCCTGATTTGACAGCCAGAAGCCAAGCTCTTAATAACAAAGAGCAAGAACATCTCTCTCCTTCCACTCTATCTAAGCTTTTGAATTACTGGTAAGTGAATGTAACAAAGTCAYTTAGGGGACCAGAAATAATTAAGACAAACAATTTAAGCAATTATATTTTTTCAGGTCTGCAAGCCTGTTTCAACAGTACTTTAAAAGCCAATCTGTGATAAAAGACAACAGTATTTCAAGAACGAGATTACAGAAATCTTTATGGGAGATATTCTTGTTATGACTAATTGTACGGTTGCACTAATATATAACAGTGAATTCCACGTGCAAGAAGCCAAAGCAAATATTGAACCATCCTTAGTATAAATCCAGAGACCCATATCCAGGAGCCTTTAATCAAATTTCCAATTAACTTCAAAGAGTTTCACTTGAGCAAGAATCGCAAGCAGAATCCAGTGCAGAAAAATTACCATTTTAATTGCTGCTAGTCTGATTAAGTGATCCAGCTTGCTGTTGATACAGGCACTTACATTAATACTATATATATATATATTTATAGTCATTTATATTCTACAGAGCCTAATCCTGCCAACCATTTTCCCCCAGAAGACTGCAGCAAAGATCAGCATAGCTTCAAACCAGCCGAGCACCTCCCTCAAAAACGACGTCTGATGACGCTCCAATAAATGACCTTGCAGTAGAAACAAGATTTGGCCGCCCGGTATCACGATGCTGCCATGATTCCATAATGTCCCAGGAGCTGGGAAAAGCAGCTCGATGCCTTTTGCAAAGCGCCTTTTTTATTGCTCGATGCCTTTTGCAAAGCGCAGCTTTATTGCTGGATTTGCCTGCCTCTGCGCGGGGCTTTACGTTGGAGCTAGCGGTAGATGGCACTCGTCCTGCTCCTCTGCCCTGACAGGTCTGTTTGACATGCAGAGCGTGGTTTTGGTGCGGGTTTGCAAGGCTTTGGTTCGCCCCCGCAACGCACATTACGAAATAAGAGACTGTTGCACGTCAGAGCCTGGCAGCAAATTGTCAAGGTCAGCGCTGCCCTGGCCTCCCCAGCCAGAGCCATTAGYGGGCTCAGCAAGCGGAGGCAGCTGGAAGCACGGCAAAGCCCAGGTGGGATGGGATGGCTTTCAGTGCAGTAAAGCCCAAGGACACCAGGAAAAAGAAAATCACCTTAAAGGTCTGGACCATCTTGACTAYTATTTTTAACCCCACTCAAAGTCCATGGGAAGAATGCAACTTTCCCTTGCAGTCACTTCAGTGGCCCTCTGGCTTATCCAGAGCTAGGGAATTATCATTCACTCATGATGCAGTTAAAGCTGTGCTTTTGCCATGCATTATTCACCCTGGCTCTGACCCTTGCTGAGCACAGGGATTTTCCAGCATCTGGTGACCTGCTGGCCACAGCCCCAGTGCGAAGCAGTGAAGAGAATCACCTGTGCATGAGACACACAAGTGAAACAGAGACTGAAGCCCCATTGCCTTGGTCAAGAAAGGCTTGGAAGCCCGTCCTAGAGGGTAGAGAGAAGATTGTTTAGCTTAAGCCTAGCTCACCTCTGAGATCTTTGGTTGGTATCTGCTAAGAAGAAAACCACCTTCCGCTGGGTCTATTTCATTTCACTTCCAGTATCAGGGCTGTCCCTGAGCCCTTTTAGCCAGCATGGGGTTTCTCCACCCATCACAAGACATATGAGACAAATTTCTCAGTTAGTCTTTGATCCTGTTTCTTTCAGAGCACTCAAAGGTTCTCTGCCCTTTTGCAGATCTGAAGTGCCTGCAGAACAGCCTAAATGTAAGCACTGACCCCAAAACTGGAATCTCCACCACACAGCTGGCACTCGTCCCTTAGAGCCACCTTGGCTTGGTTGGCAACTCAGCTTTCCTCTGTATCTGGCTTATGGCCGGGTGTGACTGGGAATCACGGGTTAGGAGCTTCTTCCCAGTGTTCGTTGAAGAGCTCAACTGGTTCCCAGGACTGGATCAGTGCAGAGCATAGTGGTAACCATTTTCCTTTGAAAATGCCGTGGAAAGAGGACATGGCGTTTTGTGACTCGTCAAATATAGCCCAGCAGCTGCAGCACGCATGCAGCAATGCTSCTGATCAAGGTCCCGTCCCTCTTCTGTCTGCAGAAGAACAGTGACGGGTTGTGAAACCCCATCTTCTCAGAGACTACCTTTGATACCTGGTTATTGTCTGTCTCAGCAATGGAGCAATGGAGCAAGGTGGCGAGACACATATTCACCCCCTGAAGATGCCTGGCTTGGTGCAAGACAAATTGGAAGTTAACTGAGCCAGGGAAYGGGTCACCATGTGACACATCTGATTTTCACACTTATTTGCCTGGACAAGAGGAGATCTGTGTCCCAGTCTCTGTTCCTAGCACATGTGCACATTTATCCCCAGTCCCCAAAYCACATGAAATGCATAAATGTTTCCTCATGAAGGTGCTGAAATGCAGATCTCTGCTTCCCAAGACAAACACTTGGCTGCAGAGCCAGRCTGTTCTCTCTGGACCACTTTCAATGCTCAGTACTTCCATGTAACAGCAAGACCAAAGTACGCAGATTTGGTACATCAAGTACAACATTGTGATAACTTTCTCTCTGGGAAGCTGCGGTAGGATTTTCAGTGCTCTGAAGCCTAGA